CCCCCCTCAGGGTCCTGCCCCTTCAGGTGTGTCCCAGGTAGACGCAGTCGAGCCTGTCGAGGTCACTGGTGACTCTGGTGCTGCTGAGGGTGCTGAGGCTGGGGGTGCTGTACCTGGGGGTGCGGAGCCTAGGGGTGCTGGGCCTGGGGGTGCTACGTCTGGGGGTGCTGAGCCTAGGGGTGCTGAGCCTAGGGGTGCTGAGCCTGGGGGTGCTGAGCCTAGGGGTGCTGAGCCTGGGGGTGCTGAGCCTGGGGGTGCTGAGCCTGGGGGTGCTGAGCCTAGGGGTGCTGAGCCTGGGGGTTCTGAGCCTAGGGGTGCTACGTCTGGGGGTGCTGAGCCTAGGGGTGCTACGCCTGGGGGTGCTGAGCCTGGAGGTGCTCCGCCTGGAGGTTCTCCGAGTGCTTCGTCTCGCCGGGAGCCACTTTCTCCACAGGAGCTGCGTGAGTGGTTTGCCCGGCGCTGGAGGCGTGCTGCTGGTGCTGGAGGTCCTTCGGCTGCTGAGGGTGCTGCGGTCGCGGGTCCCGGAGGTGCTCGTCCTGGGTGCACTGGAGCTGGTGCTGCTGAGGGTGCTGGCGCTGAGACTACCGCTGGCAGTCCTACTGGGGGTGCTCCTGGTGCTGCTGGAGGTTCTGGAGCTACTGGTGGTGCTGCTGGAGCGGGTGCTCCTGCTGAGGGTTCTGGTGCTGTCCCTGCTGCTTCTAGCGTCGCCGCGCGGCCTCGACCGTACTTCGTTCCACTCCTGCAGCAGGTTCTTGGTCTTCCACCTTCTACTGGTCCTCCTCCTCCCTTAGAGTGTCCACAGCCTGTCTCGTCCCAGCTACAGTTGCAGCCTACCTCCCCTTTGCCTGCTCCTTCTCCCTACACTGGTCCTACTGGAGGTCTGGCTGAGCGTCGTGAGCCTGCGTCTCGCCCTGCGTCGCCTGTCCGTGCTGCTCGCACTAGTGGTCGCGGTTCGCGTCAGCGTCCTCCTCCTGTCCCTGGCACGCACCGGATGTCTCTGCGTCCGTCCACTGCTCCTCTGCGTGCCCCTTTGCCTTCTCCTCCTGAGTCCTCTCTTCCTGCTCTTGCCGACCCGGAGTCGGACTCTCTTCGTGCTGCCAGTCCTACTGTCACGCGTCTCCTTGCTACTGTTGTCACTGACCCTTCTTTCGAGTCTACTGCTGCGTCTGCTCTCGTTATTGAGCTCGTCGACTTTGCTGCTCGCTGTCGCTTAGACTACGCTGCTAGTCTTGTCGCTGAGTCTGAGTCTGTCTGTCCTCCGTCCGTCGGGGGTGAGTGTGCCCTTGGCACGGACGTCCTTGAGGACAGGCAGGAGGAGTTCCAGTGTCTGGCAGCTGCCTCACCTCATCTCGTGTCCGTACTGCTTACCCCTGAGGGAGACCCGGATGCACTTGACATCCCGACTCCGCGCTCTTACGCGGAGGCGATAGAGGGTCCCTACTCCTCTCAGTGGCAGGCAGCTATGGATGCATAGATGGCTTCCTGGAAGTCCACAGGCACCTACGTTGACGCTGTCCCCCCTCCTGGGGCGAACATCGTCAGTGGCATGTGGATCTTCAGGGTGAAGCGGCCGCCGGGTTCTCCGCCTGTCTTCAAGGCGCGTTACGTGGCTCGTGGCTTCAGTCAGCGGCAGGGAGTTGACTACTTTCAGACCTTCTCCCCCACCCCGAAGATGACCACTCTTCGGGTACTGCTGCACGTTGCTGCTCACCGTGACTACGAGCTGCACTCTCTTGACTTCAGCACAGCTTTCTTGCAGGGCAGCCTGCACGAGGAGATCTGGCTGCGTCGCCCACCTGGCTTCACTGGGTCTTTCCCTTCTGGTACCCAGTGGAGTCTCCGGCGTCCAGTCTACGGTCTCCGCCAGGCGCCACGTGAGTGGCACGACACACTGAGGACTACACTTGCGGCTCTTGGGTTTGCTCCTTCTACTGCCGACCCGTCGCTGTTTCTACGCACCGACACCTCTCTGCCGCCGTTCTACATCCTCGTGTACGTCGACGACTTGGTCTTTGCCACAGCTGACACTGCTGGACTCGCCTACGTGAAGTCCGAGCTGCAGAAGAGACACACGTGCACAGACCTGGGTGAACTGCGCAGCTACCTTGGCTTGCAGATCACCCGGGACAGAGCACGCCGCACCATTACCCTGACTCAGTCACACATGGTGCAGCAGGTCCTTCAGCGCTTCGGCTTCACGTACTCCTTGCCTCAGGCCACTCCTCTGTCTACTCGCCACTCGCTCTCAGCTCTGCCTTCGGATGAGTCCGTAGAGTCGAGTGGCCCGTACCCAGAGCTTGTTGGCTGCCTCATGTACCTGATGACCTGCACACGACCTGACCTTGCATACCCTCTTAGCATTCTCGCACGCTATGTTGCTCCTGGGAGACACAGACCAGAGCACATGGCTGCAGCGAAGAGGGTGTTGCGCTACTTGTGCAGTACGTCGGGCATGGGGCTAGTGCTTGGAGGGCGGAGTCCAGTGGTCCTCACTGGGCACGCGGACGCTTCTTGGGCTGACGACCAGGCTACGCAGCGGTCGTCACAGGGTTACACCTTCAGCCTTGGTTCCGGCTCTGTTTCGTGGCGGGCTACTCGCTCGTCTTCTGTTCTTGGCTCGAGTTGTGAGGCTGAGATCTACGCCGGGGCCATGGCTGCACAGGAGCTTCGCTGGCTCACCTACCTGCTGACCGACCTTGGAGAGCCGCCTCGTTCTCCTCCAGTCCTGTACGTAGACAACAAGGCCATGCTGGCCTTGTGTCGAGAGCAGCGACTGGAGCACAGAACAAAGCACATTGCTCTCCGCTACTTCCTTGCTCGTGAGCTACAGCAACGTGGTCAGTTGCGGCTTGCGTACGTGGCCTCTGAGGCCAACACTGCTGATGTCTTCACCAAGGCACTTCCGCCTTGTGATCATCAGCGCTTCTGCACTCAGCTGGGTCTTGTGCCCGTCTTGCCTCACTTGCTCTCCTCTTGACCTTGCCTGTACTCTCACATATATATATACCTGCTCTTGCTTGTCTAGCTTTATATATATGTGTGTACTCTTGCATGTGAACTGGCCGTGTGGCCTTGACCCTGTGCTCGGACTGTGTGGTGACTTTGTGATCCACCCTGAGCTTGCTTTGCTTTACTTTGCTTGACTGGTCTTGTGACCCCTTGTTCTCCCCCACTTTGCCTATGGGGGTGTGTCGGAACATTATAGCTTATGCTGTTGTGTAGGCTATAGTGGGGTATCCCATAGGGGGTACAACCAATTAGGGTTTCATATTTGTACTCACTTCATTTCATAGTTCATCCATTCTTGTTCAAATCTTCTCAACGCTGACTTCAGAACACTGACCAATCAGAGTGCTTGATTTCTGGCCGAAGTGCCTTCAGAGTCAATTTTTTTTTTGGGGGTTGGAATCAGAGTGCCTAAATTTGAAACGTCAGCCCCGGTAGAAGGGCACCTTATTTAGAAGGTGGGAGCGTGTAATGAATACGAATTCATTACAGTAGAGGCTGCTCCTAGCGAGGACAACCCCGAGCACTTCGCGTCAGTTTCGAGGTTCGGCCTACACTTCGGGCCGAACCACTTCCGAGTCGCTCCGCACCAATCGCGACACCTCCAACCCACCCACATCCCGAGGTCCGCGCCTAGCACGTATTCGCCCTATAAATGTCTCTCTTGTTCATTCAATCTTTATTCAGTAATTCTGTTGTTTTCATCCTCTTTATGCAGTCTTCCGCACACTCTTTTAGTACAACTCATAACAGTTGACCTCTTAACGAAACCTTGTTGATTATGTTTTCCATCCGACCAAGCGCCTGCACTGACTCTCAGAATCAAGCATAGGTACATAGCCAGTATATAGTTTGAAACGAGGTCGCCTATACGTAAGTCAGAACACCAGCTGGATACTATCGCCGACAAATGTGTTAATTGCCAGGCTTTCAATACATATTCGCCACGTCAAGCATCAGTCATGTCGAAATTTCTCAGACTTGGCAGCTGTTTTTCGCCCACGTCAGTCAATGATCCTAGACGTGATAAGATGCCCCTTCGCTTCGACATCACCATTGGTTTCACCGAAGTTGAGCTCCGCCGCAAAATTCCGCCTGAACTTTCGCTTTGTGTTCGTCGCCAAGCCAATCAGCCGTTCACGGTGGCAAAAGCAACGCGAGCATGCTAAACTCCCTCCAACTGAGCTTTCCTGGGGCTGACCCTTGCCAACCATGTCCAAACTCAGCCTGTTCTTTTAGTTTGTGAAGTCGAAAAGGCAAGGACTACTTGAGTCGAACTCATCATCAATCAGGACTCAAGCACAGAGCAGTTTCGCCGAATATATCTCAGCGCGTTCAGGTCGTCGCCCGGGGGAGCTCGCTGCCCCCGGGCAAAACAAATAAACCCCAGTCGGGCATGCATCCCTCCCCCAACATACTTCTTGACCGAGCAATTTCGCAGACATCCGCCGAACCGTGTCGTAACTGGTAAGCGACTCCAAGCTCAAATCCAGTATATCCCGTCATTCACTCGAATCTTGCCACGTGGATCCACATCTCGGGTGGTGGCACTGGCAACCCACCCTTACGGGATTGTGACCTCTTCCAGTCACAATCTGAATGCTGCACCTTATCCCCAGCGATGAGTCACACACACCGCACCCAAACCAGAATTCAACTCACAGAACCGCATATTAACGCATTCCGCCTTTCTCGTTTCGATAAATTCCTCCAATCCGTGAATTATTGCTCGCACTGAAGGATTCTCTCACATTCCCCGTCAAGCGGAATGAATTCGCTCCTCAACCTCACTTTTGACCATTCTCAACTTTGAGTTGTCTCAGGCCCTCTTGAATTTCTGTCAAACCTTTTCAGCTTCACTTTGTGGAGCTGTTTCCAGAAGCTGGAACTGTGATTCTATTACAATTTGCCAACGATTGTGGCGTCTCGTCCAGCTGACGGCCTCAGCAGACCTATCAGTTGACGTCAACGAAAGCGACGTTACGTCAGCAGCCATGCCGACCATCGAGCGTTCCAGCCTCGTGGACGGATTGTTGCTTCCCGTTAAGGTCGTACCCACGTCTTACCTCTACGACGAGCGCGGCTCGGCCCTGTACGACTCGATCACGCGCCTCCGGCAGTACTATCCGTTCCTGGAAGAACGCCGGCTGCTGAAGCAGCACGCGAAGGAAATCGCGCAATTGATCCCGCGCGACGCTGTGGTGGTGGAGCTCGGATGCGGGAACGCGCTTAAGACCCGCGTGCTGCTTCAGGCGATTGCCGAACACCATGGGAGGTAAGAATTCGCAGAAATCCATGACAACTTTAACGAATTCAAGTCGTTTTTGCACACGGCTTCTCAAATTTCTCGTAAACTCGCCAGTAAAACCTCTGCTCGCTGTTTCGGAAATACGATGCTCCAGTCCAGTCTACTCGAAACGCGAACCGACCCAGAAAAATGTGCCGCCCCGGTCCGTCGCCGCGCCCATGGTGATGTACGCACGTTTCGTATAAATTCATAAAAGAATGCGCTCGAATTCCTTTCAGCTCTCTAGAACATTTTCATGGCGTATTCTTACGCACTGCCAATCTCACAACCATGCCGTCGCGCGCTGACCAATCCCCAGGTGCCGCTTCGCGGGAATCGACGTTTCCGAGGCGTTTCTGCTCGAGGCGCGTCGCAATATCTTGGCGGCGGTGCCGCGAATGACGGCGGGCGACGTGGAGCTCGTGCAGGAGGAGTACTTAGACGGGCTGCGCTCCGTGCGGCGACGGCACCCCGACGCCACGCTCTGCGTGCTCTGGCTCGGCAGCAGCGTCGGTAACATCCCTGGTGAGCGGTGCGCGCGGTGTTAGCGGAGAGCGCGGTGATTAGCGAAGAGCGCGGTTGTGAGCGGAGAGTGCGATTCTGCGAGGAGAGCGTGTGGAAGGGCGTATGGAAGTCTATATGCCTTTTCTCTCACTGGTCGAGCACAGTCCCACGGTCCAATTCGAATTCCCCTCTCCCCACTGTGCCCGTCCCGCCGTTTCCTCGTCCCCCCACCCCCTTCCTCCTCTCTCGCCCTTTCCTCCCCCCTCCCCTCCTCCCTTTCCTTGTTTTGGCTTGCGCCTTCCCGCAGATGAAGACATTGTGGAGTTCTTCACCACTCTGCACCGCATTGGTGGATCCAACATGCAGCTGCTGCTCTGCACTGGTACGTCATACGTACAATCATTCCCGTTTGTTCGTTCACCGCCCCACATCCTCCTCCACTTGCGCCTGCCCTCCATCCCTGCTGCTGTTAAAGAGTCGTTCCGAATCAGTCAGCTCGCTGTGCCTTTTGTGGCGTTCATTGTGCCGCCTCTCACGGAATCTGTTGTTGAGGCGACTAAGAAATAGCCCCCTCTCTCCTCCCTTGCACGCCTCCCCGTTAGACCTCTGGAAGGACCGTGACGTGCTGCACGGCGCATACGACGACGACCAGGGCGTCACAGAGGATTTCATCAAGAACGGCGCGCGCAACGCATTCCAATCGCTCGGCATGCGCGCTGCTGACGTGGACGAGGTCGCGTGGAAGTATGACGTGGTGGTGAACGGTGAACTGAGGCGCGTGGAGATGTGGTTGGAGTTCCCGCAGTCCATCTCGCTCCCTCACACGCCTGTCTCTATCGGGTGAGTTTTGGATGACCTCCTCAAAGATTGTTGCATAAAGGTATGACGTGGTGGTGAATGGTGAGGTACGGTGCGTGGAGATGTGGCTGGAGTTCCCGCACTCTATCTCCCTGCCTCGCACGCCCGTCTCCATTGGGTGAGTTTTGGCTCTCGTAGCGCCATAGAATTTGCGGCGTGTGAGAGGATGTGGCTGGAGTTCCTGCACTCCATCCCGCTCCCTCACATGCCCGTCTCCACTGGGTGTCTGCTTCCACACCGCCCTCGTATTCCGGCCCTTGCCAATATAACCACAAAAAGGTAACAAAAAAAGGGGAAATTAAGCACTGGATTCCTGTGTTGCGGTGGAGAGGATGGTAAGACAAGTGGGTCTGCCCTTTCTCCCTGCCTTTCCCCCTTCCTTTCCCTCCTGCCTTCTTTCTCCTCCCTCTCCTCCTGCCATGCAGCGCCGGCGACCGCGTGCCGATGGAGATCTCGCGCAAGTTCACCCCTCAGGACATACATTTACCAAACTACCTTTCCCCCCTCTCTCTCCCTTCTGCATTCCCTTCCTCTTTTTCCTCCTGCCGTGCAGTGCGGGGGACCGCGTGCTGATGGAGATTTCGCGCAAGTTCACCCCACAGGACATAGCAGCGCTGGCCAGCAAGTCCGCCATGCTCATGCACGCCGCGTGGCGCTCGCCTCTCTACGGCATGCAGCTGCTGCTGCCGCAGACGCTCGCTCTTCTTGAGTGCTGGCGGGATGCTGACGCCTTCTTTGATGCTCTGGATGACTGGAGCGTCAAGCCGATTGAGTTCCGCCACCCCTTCTGCTTCTACTAGTGAGTACTAGCGTGATGATGTGGTGTGGTGGGGTGAGGTGGGGTGGGGTGGGATCGGATGGTATGGAGTGGGATGGGTTGTGGTGGGGTGGGATGAGATGGGGTGGTGTGGTACCGTGTGCGCTGTGTTGCTCCGTCTATCTCCACTCCTTTCCCTCTTCCCTCTTCCCGCTTCCCCTTTCTCCCTTCTCCCTTCCCCCATCCCCCTTCCCCATGCCCCATTCTCATCTCCCTTCCCGTTCCCCGTTCCCCCTCCCCTTTCCCCCACGCAGTGGCCACTTAACAGCCTTCGCCATTCTCAAGCTGCTCCCGGCACGCGCACCCACGGCCCTCGACACCATGTTCTCTCGGGGCATCGACCCGCTCCTCCTCGACCCCTCGCAGTGCCACGCGCACCCAGACGTGCCCCTCACATGGCCTTCCCAGGCCGAAATCCAGGCCTACGTGCGAGACGCACGCAGGGAGATCATGGCTGCAATGCAGGCTTCAGCTGAGGGAGAGCAGGAGGAGGGAGAGAGGGCGGTGAAGGTGACAGCGCGGCAGGTGGCGCTAGCAGTGGAGCATGACAGGATGCACATTGAAACCCTCTCCTACATGCAACTACAGGCGGATAAGCAATCCTTCCTGGCATCTCCACTCCCACTTTCCCCTCCTCCTTCTGATGCTGACCTCCCTTCCCCGTCCTCCACGGCAACAGAACCCGCATCTCTCCACCCGAACTCGCCGTTTATCCTCGAATCTCCTCATCCCCCTGCCGCTGCAAAGCACAACTTGGCTCTACTTCGAGAGTCGCTGGCTGGTGATCTCGATGTGCTAATCCCAGCAGGGAAGGTGGCCATGGGCACCGATGTGACTGGCGACAAGGACGGATTCGTGTGGGACAACGAAGGCCCGCCGACCGTCTCCCTGGTGCCTCGGGATTTCCTCGTGTCGTCCCAGCCAGTCTCGGTCGCGCAATTCCATGCGTTCGTGACTGAACTGAAGGGGTACAAGAGGGAGGAGCTATGGGAGGGGGAGGACTGGGATTTTCTGCAGAAGCAGGGGCTTACCTGCCCGGCCTCCTGGAGCTTTGTCAAGCGCATGAGGGGTGGGAGTACGGACGGGGAGGGGAGCGGGGAGGACGGTGTGATGATGGCTGATGAGGAAACAGCTGATGGGAACGGGGAGAAAGTGGTGGGCGGGGAGGAGGAGGGAGAGTACTGGGTTCATACTCACCTAGGCCTGGGCAAGGGAACAGAAGCGAAGCCTTGGTACGAGGTGGCAGATGCACCTGTGTGGGTTAGCCTGGCTGAAGCCCAGGCGTTCTGCCGGGCTGCAGGGAGCGAGTACCGGATTATGAGCGAGGCGGAGTGGAACCAGATTGTGTCTCAGCCGCCGCCGTTCCTTCTGCCGGCTGACATCATGTCTTTCAATGACCAAGACGACGACGGCAACAAGGGGAAGTCTGGGAAGTTGTCTCCGCTGTCTGAGAACGGCAAGGGCAGCGGCAAGGGACTGGTTTCTGGGGCAACGACGACGAAGAAGCAGCACAAGGACGGGAAGTTATCCCTGCTTGCCAATGGTGTTGGGAAGTTTGATCTCAACTCTGCTGAAGAACCGGCTGAAGAAGATTCGGTCATGGAAGGGAATCGGCTAGCGGAGCTGCAGCAGAGCGTGCGGGAAGGAGGGTGGGAGTGGACCAGCTCTCCCTTCGAGCCGTTCCCAGGGTTTGAGAAGATGGACGAGTATCCTGAATATTCCACAGACTTTTTCGACGGCTGCCACTTTGTGCTCAAGGGGTCGTCGCCTGTGACGCACCCGTGCATGGTTCGCGACTCGTTCCGGAACTACTACCAGCGCCAGTACCCGGTTGTGTTTGCCAAGTTCCGGTGCTGTAGGGATGTGGCCAGGAGCGTTGTCTGACGGAGTCCGTGGGCTGTGAAGCAAGAGAGCTTTTTCCTACAACTGGCCTGTACTTTGTTTTTCCTCGCGTGCCCCCCCTTTCTTTACCATCTTGATGCTTAGTTTGATAACGTGCCTCTTACTGTTGCTGCTGCTGCCCTTCATACCGCAAGTATATGGGCAACTACACAACTTTGTCGAAAATCGTTATCTCCTGTCCTGTTTTGTTATTTTTATGAAGTATATTCGATGGTTTTTCAGATATTATCAAGTCTCCCATAGCTAGCCCGTAGATCAAGATGCAACTACACAACAAAGAGCATTGTATCAGGCAAGTCTGATAAGGGGTGTAGGAACAAGCTAATTTATACAGAAAGACAGTAATGGTGGAACAAGGAAAGGGTGAAGGTGTAAACGATGTGAACTAAGGGGTGTTGCGATCAGAAAGTGATCGTAACCAGGATCACCTCAGGAAGGTTCGCACACTTCTAGCCTAACGGTGGTGGGCCCTTGACCTCAAATAGCAGAGTGAATGTAAATGCTTGAGATAATAAAAACATGCAGTACAGGGAATATAAATATGAGTACAGGGGAATTCGAAACGACCTAACTAGCCATGTACTCTAAGGGGTACATTCCCTTATTGCAGCGAAATCCAACCGTGCGACTCCGAGTGGTTACGTAACCGTTCGGGCAGAATCCTCGCCACTGCTGCTGCCTGATGCTGTCTGCCCGACGGTCCAGATGCTCCTCGTAACCGTCTGTCCCTTCGTGTTTCTTCTGCCTTTTCGTCTTCACTCTCGATAGTGCGTGCTTCGGCTTTGCTACGGTGAGGAGTGCGCAATAGTGTTTTTCATTAACCACTAAGCGTAACACCCCCCTTCACTCCTGGCCGTAGCGAGCATTGACCCGCTTGACTACCCCGCTGAGTTTGGAGCAGTGCTGGTACTGCTGACGCGGCAGTTTCTTCGTGAGGAAGTCTGCTGCCATGTCACCCGTTGGGCAGTATGTCAGGTCAACTTTGCCCTTGTCAACTTCGTCCTTGACGAAGAAGTACCGCAGTGCGATGTGCTTGGTGCGGTTGACGAAGCCAGGTTTGTTCGCGATCCTGATCGCGCTCTGATTGTCGCAGTGCAGGCGAAAGTTCGTTGAGGCCGGAATTTTCGCTTCCTGCAGCAGTTCCTGAAGGTAGAGACCTTCGCGAACAGCTGCTGTTGCTGCGATAAATTCAGCTTCCGCCGATGACAGGGCAACCAACTCCTGCTTCTGAGAGTTCCAGGAGATGGGGCCGCTGGGCTCGAGGCGGAAGAGGAACCCTGTCCTGGACCGTCGATTGTCAGGATCAGCGGCGTGATCGGCATCCACGGAGCCGACGAGGCTGAAGGATGTGGTTGGGATGGTGGAATAACTGAGCCCGACATTGGGCATGGAGATGAAGAATTGAAGGGCTCGCTGAAGTTCTGAGAGATTCTCAGCCGTTGGTTTGCGTGAGTACTGAGCCAACTGGCTCGCAATGTAGGAGAGGTCGGGCCTGCAGGTGACAGATGCGAAAAGCAGGCATCCCAACTGCTGGTGGTAAGTGTGAAGCCCACCAGGGGACAGGGCTTTGTTGTCAGGCTTGTGGTTGGGTCCTGGAGTGCGGTAAGGGGTGGAGAGTGGTGCAGGCGCAATGTTGAAGCGCTTGCTAAGCTCCTCCGCATACTTCGCTGCTGAGAGATGAATGGCTTCCGGCGAGTAGGTTATGTTGAGTCCGAGAAACTGCTTCACGTCATGATTGCAGGTGATGTCGACGCGCCCTGCGAGGCTTCTCTCAAACTACTCGAGTAGTTCGTTGCTTCAGCCTGTGTAGAGAAGGTCGTCGACGTAGACCGTGAGGAGGATGTATTCGCCGCGGAAATCGCGGCGATACATTCCAGGATCGTGAGGCAGCTGCTTGAACCCGATTTCAAGCAGTATGTTGTGCAGGTACTGCTGCCAGAGTCTCGGTGCCTGTTTGATCCCATAGAGGGACTTGCGTAGCTGACAGACGCGTGGGTCTCCGTCGCCGTAAGTGTGTGGCTGTTCCACGTAGATCACGGCGTCCACTAACGCGTACAGGAACGCATTCTTCACATCGATCTGCCGGAGTGGTAGGTGTCGTGCGGCTACGATGGCGAGGAGAATTCTGACGGACGTGTGACGGCTGACCGGTGCAAATGTCTGGTCAAAATCAATCCCGTGCCTTTGATCGTAGCCGCGCACCACCCAGCGTGCCTTGAATCGCTCAATCCTTCCGTCGGCTCCTGTCTTCACTCGGAAGACCCATTTGCCGGAGAGAATCCTTCTCCCCTTTACTGCTGCACGGTCGACGAGCACCCAGGTGTCGCGTGACTCGAGTGCCCGGATTTCCGCATCCATTGCTTCGCGCCACTCCTTGCTGTGTGGGCCTGTGAGAGCTTGCCGTGGGTTCTTAGGTTCGATGATGCGCGGAGCAGTGGAGATGGCAGCGTGTAGTCCAAGTAGTTGGAGACCGGTGACAGTGCTGTCGTGGCGATGTTGAGTGACGACTTCCTGCACGTCGTCATCATCGCTTTCTGGTTCAGGCGGTGCTGGCGGTGCTGTGTCTCCGCCGCTTCTGCTTCCTCCTGCCGCGCCTCCTCCTGTTGCGCCTGTTCCTCCTTCACCTGAATCATCGTCGTCGTCGTCGTCGCGGCGATCGCCCCTTGTGAACTCGCCTCTGGGATCCTGCTCCAGAATTGCTGCTGCTGCTTCGTCCTCAGGTGAGGCGTAGCTGTGGCCCTCGTTGGCGTAGACGCGGTTTGCGTTCGTCTGCTCGTCGTCACGAAATTGTTGCAGAAACAGTCGCTCGTAGAAGATGACATCGCGCGCATTCTTGATTTTCTGGCTTAGGAGATCCAGGATGATCCACGCCTTGTGTTCGTGGCTGATGCCGAGGTGGATTCCCCAGCGCGCGCAGCTCTTGAACTTACCGATGGTTGATGTTGGCGGTTGGTATTGAACCATGCGGCCCCAGACGCGGAGCATGGAGGTGTCCCCCTTTCTTCCCGTCCATTTCACGTGCGGCGAGGAGATGCCGGTGATTGCGGTGGTTGACAGCAGGTTGTGCACCCGCACGGCGTGGTGCATCGCGTAGGTCCAGTAGATCGGCGGGAGCTTTGCCTGCCGCATTAGCGCTCGTACCTTCGTCATGAGAGTGCGATTCGTGCGCTCCGCTACGCCCTGCTGCTGGTGCGCGTAGGGGAGGGAGATGTGATGCTCGATCCCCTTTTGCGCGAGGTAATCCTGCAGTTCCTTGCTCCTGAACTCCGCCGCACCATCGGACTGCCAGATCTTCAATTTCTCCCCAGATTGCCGCTGCGCGTGCGCCAGCCACAGACGGAATGCTTCGTAGGCTCTGCTACGCGCTTCCACGTTTACGACCCACACGTGGCGCGTTCCGGCGTCGACGAAGGTAAATGTGTAGAGTTCGTCATTGATGCCGCAGTGTCCTACGTTGAGAAAGTCACTGTAAACCTTCTCAAGCTTGGCGTAGCGATTGGTTCCTGGCTCGAGTAGGGGGAAGGGCTGGTGACTCAGCGCAGCTTCGGGGCAGACAGTGCAGCTGCGCGGGTGAGTCCCTCCTCTCACTTCGGAGCCGTCAGGGCGCAACAGCGCGCCAGGTGCAAAGACGCCGGCTTCGATGCAGTTCTTCAGGGTCACGCGCGAGGGGTGACCTAGGCGCTGATGCCAGATGGCGTCGTTGGCGCGGAATCCAGATGTGCGCATGTAGCGCTCCAGTGCGGCTCCGGGGTCTTCGTTAGGTGCCGGTGCAGGTGTAGGCGCTGCTCCCTCGTTCTCTTCTTCTTCCTCATTCGCCGTCGTAAGCATGAGGGCGAGAAATTCTCTGTCGCGCATGACGGAGTAGGGGATGTTGGTTCCGGGGATCGTGCCAAGTACGAACGTTGGTTCGCGCGGTTCAGGGGCAGGTCCGTAGACAGTGCGTCGCGGGGTGAGTGGTTCACTTCCCCAGTCAATGGTGTCCCAGGGGCCACTACCTGAAGGGATGTCAGGCGGCGGTGGTCCTAATGCAGGGCGGCGCGGAGGGCGTCCGAGAGGAACAACAGGAGGTTCGACCTCAGCATGCGCAGGTTCTTCTTCCCCTTCCCCCCTTTGATCCTCGCGGAAAGCTCCCCAGCCGCTCGTCTCGCCGCTTTGTGCGGCGCCCATCCGCCGATGTTTGCGACTGTTGCTGCGCCCCATCCGCCGGTTGCGACGCCCCAGCCGCTGGTGTCGCTCGTTCCCCATCCGCCGGCGCTCCCCCACCCCCCTTCATTGGGGGCGCTTTCCTCGTCCTGCTCCCAGGCGAGCGTTCCGCGTGCCTCGGCGAGGCTCTTCCGCCGAAGCCCTTCGGCTTCTTGTTGCGCCAATGCCTCTTCTTCCGTGGGCGAGAGCTGTTTCTTGGAATCGCGTCGGTGAGAGTAGATCTCTGCCGCCTTCCGTTCGGTGTAGGGCCGGGGATTCCCATGCGCGTCGAAGGTGCCGACGCCAACGCCGCGGAGCATTCCTTGGAGATGCTGGGATGCGGGTCCGGGAAGAGGGTGTTCCGGTGTGCCGAATACGACCCGTGTAGCTGTTTCCAACTCCAGCTGGGAGAGACCCTCTTCAGGCGGTGCGTCGCGCTCTGCTTCGCGAATAGCGGCAAGGCCACGACCGGCGATCGCGCTCGTCGAAGACGTTGGTGTGTGGCAGTCCCTGCAGACGCCGTCGGGATCGGGGTCGTGCAGCGCGAGCTCGCGCGGGTGTGAGTGGTGTGGCACCCAGGGGCGCCCATCAGGGTGCTTCCAATCGCGGCGATGAATGTGTTCGAAGCGCAGGGGGACAAGGTCAATCAATTCCTGCGAATCGCCGCTGCAGTCGGGAATGTCGAAGTCGAGAACGTATACGCCGTTCTCGGCGCGCGCCCGTCCGATCTGCTTGCGCTTCTTGTTCGGCATCGTGAAGTGGAGCAGGATGTCGCGCGTCTCGGGGTCGATGCTAAGGAT